GTCACAGAATTTCCACAATGTGAGTTTTAATCCCTTTTCATAAGAGACCTAAATCAGATTTTCAAAGTTCCCCTGCCCATTTACAAAAACTATGCAACTGCTCAGGTGAATGATTTTTAAAATTATACATTTTTCACTAAATTTAGAATATATAATGTATCTAAGCAAATAGTCAGCAATCCCTATCTGTCTTTTGATGTACTCAAAACTCTTCCCATTTTTTGTTTGTTTTTTTACTGAAAAATAATTAGCATATACTGTTATATTAGTTTCAGGTGTACAACGTATTGATTGAACAATTCTGTACATTACCCAGTGCCCACCACAGCAGGTGTAGTTATCATCTACCACCACACAGTGTTATTACAATATTACTGATTATATTCCCTATGCTGTACTTTTCATCTCTGTGACCTACTTATTTTGTAAGTGGAAGTCTGCACCTCTTAATCCTCTTCACCATTTTGCCACTCTCCCCACCCTCTTCCTGTCTTCTAAATGCATTTTTCCCATATTCTTTGTTGAATAGTATGTTGTCTAAATAATATAGTTCGAAATACTTCTATATCGCTAACAAAAAACTCTGGATGTTCGTACAGTATTTTTGCTGAAAATGTACAAATTCTGGTCTCTGTCAGGCTTACACTAAGAGGCAGGACGGTAGTTGTAGTATTTAAACTTGTGATTTTATTATAAAAGTTGACCCTGAGAGAGCTCTTATATTCCATTTCTAGAACAATTTTATTAATATTATATACATGTTTTTGTATTTTTAGTAGAAATGCAAATGCAAATATATTAATGTATCACTGTTAAGGCAGTATTTGCTGGAATGCAGCTGGGCACAGCTACTGCCCAGATGAAATGGAATAATCAAATATACTATAGCTTGAAAAATACTTTCTTGCTGAATTGCAACTCCAAATGAGAATAACAATGAGCAGTTAGATAAACACATAGGGTATGGAATCCTGAATACCGTGTTTCAATCAGAAAAAGCATCAGATTTCAGTGAAAACAAAGCACTTTGCTCAGAATATCATAGCTGCAGCTGCAACCCAACAGATAACCTTTCTGTTCCTGAAATGTGAGAAATACAAGTCACGTATCCTTCCGCGTCCTTCATTTCAATAATAACTATTAGTAACATTATTGTTTACAGTAAAGGTCAACAGCCTATCAATAATGAGTGAAAATTTTATTTTTCATGGTCTCAAGAGATAGTAGTATCCTAAGATAATCAACCACTGTTGTAAAAAGAGATCGAGGAATAACTGAAGATCCTCATTACAGCAGTCTTTATATAAACAGATAATATTATCTCTAGACAGTGAAATGAACATCACTTTGTTCTCAAAGCTATAATTTCACTAAGCTCTCACTCACTAGACATGAATAGGTCAGTTTTCATTACAAGATAAACAGAGATATGTTCTAACTTATGGGCAAATAATCTACCATGGAAATTTAGTTTTCTTATTTCTTTCACACAAAACTCAGAGAAACATCCAAAGTATATTAAAAATATACATAACCAATCCCTTTTTTTTTGATTCCATGTGAAATAGAATAAATTCATATTTAAGCAAGTTTTCAATCTCTAAGACCAGCATATTCATATTAATTTACTGTTTGCAACCTGAGATAATTTATATATAATATGTAAGCAGATGTGTTAAGTGATCCTAATTCTTCAAACACAGAGGCAAAAGCAGATTGATGAGTATCTGGGGAATGATCAACATGTATTTCTTTATTCTAGTTTCGTATCTCCGAAAAACAACTCTGGATATTTGTAGGGTTTCCTTGCTGCATATTACATCTCAACTAATGTTTCCATTAGGAATGCGTTTGTCGGGGCGCCTGGGTGGCTTAGTCGGTTAAGCGTCCGACTTTCGCTTAGGTCATGATCTCGCGGTTCATGGGTTCGAGCCCTGCGTCGGGCTCTGTGCTGACTGCCAGCTCAGAGCCTGGAGCCTGTTTCAGAGTCTGTGTCTCCCTCTCTCTCTGACCCTCCCTTGCTCACGCTGTCTCTCTCTCTCTCTCTCTCTCTCTCTCTCTCTCTCTCCTAGAAATAAAAAAAAAAAAAGGAATGCATTTGTTGATATGTAACAGAAAATCTGACTACTAGTGGCAGAAACTCATTGGGGGTGGGTATTTTGCCCACATTGAAGAAAGATGTTTAATACTATTAAATCAGTATCTCAACAATGTCATACCTAATGATTCAAATACTCTTGGCTTTTCCCTCAACTTCACAAAGGGCTGGTAAAGCTCAAGATAACACTGTTGCATTAAAAGATAGTGCCAGCTACCTCTTTTTTTTTATCATCACTTTCTAGAAGCCCTCATAAATTTTCTTACATCTCATTTGCTAGAACTGTGCCACAGTCATTCCCATTTGCAAGGAAAACTAAAAAAATTTATATTTATCAAGTCCTTTCATTGGGGATTGCAAGAGAGAAAGAAGTTTGAAAACGTCTGTTAAGGTAGCCATTGAATAGGTTCTAGAACCGTCTGTTCTTTCAACTAATCAACGGTCTTTATGTGTGTGTGTGTTTGTGTGTGTGTGTGTGTGTGTGTGTGTGTGTGTGTGTATACATACATAACATAACATATTCACTCCTTCCCCAAGGAGATAATCCCAAAGACTCATTTAATTACAAAATACAAGTCTGAGTGTGAGATCTGTGAGGTAGAGCAAATCTTTCCCTCAGGGTCTAGTGTGCATCGTTGTGAACCACTGACGCACACCCTGAAAGACAAGTTATCAGTTCCGAACACACTCAATACACAGTGATGGAGAAAGAACAGAGTGATTGCAACAGAAACTCTCATTCAAAATGGGAAGAATAAGAAATATACAGTGGTCGACTGTCCACAGCACACAGCAGTTCCTACATAAACACACCTTAATTTCTTTGTTATCCTATCTGGCAGCCCCTGATTCAGCTACTCTCCCTTGACTGTTGTCATTCAGATTCCCTGGTTCTGCCCTTTGGGATGATGTCTCTTGTCCATTATTTTCCTTGTCTATAGAAGAGACTGGCATTGGCAAGCGGAACCTTCCTACATTCTGTACAGCTTTTCTCTCTACTGCTAGTATACACATCATACTGCTCCCATGAGTACAGGGCATTGCCTTAGAGGCTGAATAGTCACCTAACATTTGCTATCCAGACCTGGTGTTTCTTTTTCTTTCTTTCTTTCTTTCTTTCTTTCTTTCTTTCTTTCTGAGCGAGAGAGAAAGAATGAGAGCATGAGCAGCGGAGGGACAGAGGGAGAGAGACTCTTACGCAGGCTCTACGCCCAGCGCAAAGCCCAACACAGGGCCCAATCCCACAACCACGAGATCATGACCTGAGCCAAAATCAAGAATCAGATGCTTAACTGGATGAGCCACCCAGGCGCCCCCAAGCTTGGGGTTTCTTTACAAATGGCTGTTTAAATTTAATTAAAATTAAATAAAATTTAAATTTAAGTTCCTCAGTCACACCAGCCACATTTCACCTGTCCAATAGCTACATGTCACTAGAACCTACTGCATTGGCTGCTAAAGGTATAAAACATTATCATCCTCAGTGAAAGTTCTATTAAACAGGGCTGCATAAAGAGTATCATAAAAAGCCCTGTTGAATTTCATTTGCAATGTTCCAAATCCACATAAAATTCACATATTTTTATCTGTTAGTCTATCTGTGGTTTAAAATAGACCATTATATTATGAAATCTTGGCATTTCCATAGCTAAGTTATCACTAAGTGTCTCGTTCCTGGAACAGGTGTCAGAATTCACCTTGAAAACTACAGACAATCATCAAACCATCGTGTGTCCTGTGTTAACTCTGGACAAAAAGTAGCACTGGAGATTCTAAAGGTACTGAATTGCCTGAACTGCACTCCTTGAGAGTCTGCTGATAAATTCGGCTGGTAGAAAGCTGGTAGATTTCTAGGGAGCCTGCCCTGGATCAAGGATGGCGCCCAGTGTGGGACACGTCTATAGCGATTGACCATAAGTCCTCAAAACTGTCTTGCAAGTTTAGTAGAATTCTTATAGATATTAAAAAAAAAAAAAAGGATAGTCACAGAGTCACAGTATCTTTTCTTCTGCTCAAAGAATTCATTCTGAACCCACATCAATCTCTGCCAACACCTACGTTATCCCAACCAAGTCACTGAAACTGAAGAGAATAAAAATGCTCCAACCAAGAAAAAGAAGGGATCCGCTAAAGGTTTCTCTTTAGGTTTCATGCCAATTTAAATTTGGAAAACTTCAACAGACCTCAAGTTTTAGTCTGACTCATCAAAGGAATCAGAATAGAAAGTTTTTATCTCTGCTTGCAGGAAGTCACCAGTCTCCAAGCAGATCCAAATCCAAATCCAAATCAGACTTCTGCAGACATTAGCAGATTATTCAAATTTTGCCTGTGGTCAAATTCTATATATCTGAACATTTCTTCATTATAATTATATCTAATATTCAACACAACCATATAAGATAGACATTTTACCAATCTCTAAAATACGTTAAGAAAAATAAAAATATATTCAATACTCAAATCAACTATAAATATGTATTTCAGAAAATCCATGTTCGATGTTTTGAGACTCATTATTACAAAGATTAAATCTTTATACTAACTCAGAAGCTTCTTTTAAAAACTTTGACCAATACAACAATGAGTTTAGAGAAACATAAGATTCAAGGAATTCTTATCACCATGAAAAACTACTGGATATCTCCTTTAAAAATGTACAAAATGCTAAAGAGTCAAGCTTTTTTAAAAATCAAATAATCAAAGTTTCATATATAAGATAATAAAATGTGTTTTTCTTTAAAATCAGATAGCATGCTTAAAATATATCAATGTATGGCAATTATCATGCACAACAGCTGTACCAAACCACTTAGAAGTATATAAATTAAATACAGCTATAAAATTAAAACTGGCAATAATAGCAACATAAAAAAATAATATTAGACAGAAAAAAGACTCTAACCACTTTGTCCTCCTGGTGTGGATATCCACGAAAGCAAGTTAGAAAGGACAGAAAAGACAAAACAAAAAAAAATAATAATTAATTCCATTCTTAAAACAAGCAAGAGTTTTTAAGAGTTTGTTAGTGAAATAAAAATTTTGAAAAAGTCTAAATTACATTTTGTGAAATATAAACATTTTAAAAGAAAATTTCTTTCCACATATTTCAAGCAAGAGCATGCCATATACTAGGATATATAGATAAACACAATAATTTGTATAAAAGCAATTAAAAATACAAACATCAGAAAAATGAGAATGTTCTTTCCACAAATAAAATCCAAATTAAATAATGATTTAACTCAAAGAGAGAAACTGAAAAATCTTAAGGCAAACAGCTTTTAAGTACAAGACAGTAAAACACAGCACCACCATTTATCTTTAATCTCATCATATACTATCAAAAGTAGACAAAATTCTATATGAATTATGCATATTGCTTCTAAAAGTTATTTCTGTCCCATTAATTTAGAAGCTTTCCAAACTTTATTAACTACAAAGAAAAAAATTAATTAGAAAAATCATTAAAGGAAACATGTTATTGATTACAATTGGTAATTTTGGGTCATAGATATAAATGTGGAAAAGATAATGATGTGTTGCATGATTTGGTCAAGGGGAACATATTTAGATATTCTGAAGTTAAAAATTGTTGCATTTCTCTTTAATAAACATAAAGTAATGATAACTTAAAGGTTATAATACAATGATCTGATATGTTATAAGAACTTCTATAAATTAAAAAATTCTATATACATTAAAATTAAAATAATGTATTTTGAGGTATCATTGCTTCTCCGAAAGATAGGTGGCAGTATATAATTCTTGTGCCTAAGAACAAGGACTTTTCAATCAGACAGACCTATCTTAAAATTCCACCTTTTTTAAACTAAGATAAATAACATTTTTAAATTCTTTTAACGTTTACTTTTTGAGAGAGAAACAGAGTAGGAGCAGGGGACTAGCAGACAGACAGGGAGAGACACAGAATCTGAAGCTGGCTCCAGGCTCTGAGCTGTCAGCACAGAGCCTGATGCAGGGCTCGAATGCACGAACCACCAGATCATGACCTGAGGCAAAGTCAGACACTGAACGACTGAGCCACACAGGCACCAGAACATTTGTAAATAACAATTTTCTTAAGCTCTCTAAGCCTGTATCTGCAAAATATGGAATTAATATTTACTTCATAGGGTTTTCTGAAATAAAATAATATGAAAAGCTCTCAATACAGTGTCTGGCATATAGTTCTACATCTAATATTCTAACCTACTGAATCATAGGCTATTGCATAGAAGGGACAGGACTGCATCCATTACATTACCGTGTTCATGACTGTTTAATTTGTTACAAATGTTAAAACTAAAGATCATTGTACACAGTCCAGGACATTTATTGCTAATAATTAGACCAACAAAAATAATTTACGGAACAATCATTGTATGTGTAATGGGCACTACACTAGATTTCGAAAATGTAATAAGGCATCTAAGATGTAAATTAAGACAGTTTCTCCCAAAGAACTAAATGTAGTAAGAGAAAAAAAAAAATCATTGCAGAATGGAGAGACTTATGAAAGCAAGAAAACAATAAAGCACTACAGAAGCACAAATGACTGAGGAGATAACAGGACTTCCGAGAAAAAAGATTAAGAGAATGTTTCTGAGATGTATGCAGGTCTTTAAAGAATAAAGAAGAGAATGTCAAGCAAGACCAGTAAGGGAGAATATTTTATGAAACGAACATGAAAAATGCAAAAAACACAAAAGCACAAACAAGCCTGGTATATTTGGAATAAAAGTATTTGAAAATGAGCAGATTACAACTGATAGGTCTGAACTAAAGTCTCACGTTAGCATATTAACAGATGTTAACATCTGCCTGAAACCAAGAAGCAGAACATTTTAACAAAATGACTCATACTGCACAAATAAAAAAGAAAGAAAAAAAATGTAGCCATAACTAATGAATCAGCTAATAGTTAATCCCTCTGAACAGACATGTAAGTTAAATTTTAGCTATAACATACATAGGAAAAACTCAGGTATAGTACATATATGAAATATTACTGCCATCATATTTTTATTACCTTTTATCAGGAATAAGAAATAAACAAAAAAAACTATCATATTTACTGAGTCTTCAACTATGCTACAAAGTGCACACTGATTGGAGGGAGACAAGTTCAGAAGCGGGGAGGACAATTAGGAAGATGGTGAAATATTTGGGGCAAGAAGCAAATATGACAGCAGTATGAACTACAGTCATAGTCGGAGAAATGGAGAGAAGTGGGCTGATTTAGGAGATACTGAGAAGTAAGGCTCTTAACACTTGACTGAGGAAGAGGAAGAAGTAGAGATCTAGGTACCCCATAAAGGATACACTAACCCAGCACACGAATCTGATTATGTCATTCAACAAAAAAACCACAAAATAAGTGCTTCACAAATACCAATTCACTTTATCCTGACAACAGCCTAATGAGATAAGTACTATTATTATTTCTATTTACAAATGAAGAAATTGAGGCAGAGATTAAGCATCTTGTGCAAGGTCACAGAGCTAGTATGTGATAAAGCTGCGATTCAAACTTCTCACTTCAGAACTTGTGCTGATGCCACTACACCATGCTGCACCTCTAATGCCAGCGCCCTCTGTTAGCTTTACATATCTTTCCTGTCATTTCCTCAATCACTACATTATTTTAGGTCATAATTACTAGAGTTGGCAGCTCTAAAAACTTAGAGTACATACAAAAGCTTTTATTAAAAATTTAATAGTACAGGGGTGCCTGGGTGGCTTAGTCAGTTAAGCATCCGACTTTAGCTTAGGTCATGATCTCGCAGTTCGTGGGTTCAAGCCCCGCGTTGGGCTCTGTGCTGACTGTCAGCTCAGAGCCTGGAGCCTGTTTCAGAGTCTGTGACTCCCTCTCTCTCTGACCCTCCCCTGCTCAGGCTGTCTCTCTCTCTCTCCCCTAGAAATAAATAAAACATTTTTTTAAAAAGTTTAATAGTACAAATACATATATTTAAAAATTATTTTTTTTAATATTTTTCATTTATTTCTAGGAGAGAGAGAGACAGCGTGAGCAGGGGAGGGTCAGAGAGAGAGGGAGTCACAGACTGAAACAGGCTCCAGGCTCTGAGCTGGCAGCCAGCACAGAGCCTGACGCGGGACTCGAACCCACGGACTGCAAGATCATGACCTAAGCGAAAGTCGGACGTTTAACCGACTAAGCCACCCAGGCGCCCCTAAAAACTATTTTTAAAACCTATTAAAAATGTACTCTATTTTATAAAATAAAAGTTTATTTATTTATTTTGAGAGGGAGAGAGAGAGAGCACAGATGTGCACACACAAGCCAGGGAGGGGCTCTGCACTGTCAGTGCTCAAACTCACAAACCCTAACTCATAAACTGGGAGATCACGACATAAGCTTAAATCAAGGGTCAGAAGCTTAACCAACTGAGCCACCCAGGCACCCCCAAAATAATTTTATACTCACCATTTTTCCTTATGATCAACTCTCTCTATGACCATCCTTACTATCTTATCTAAAATAACCAATCACATTGCCTCTCCTGAGGATCAATTTAAGTATTAATCTACCTTCTCATTCTCACTTACATCACTGATTCTACTGTTCTTTCTTGATATGTGCTCTTGATAGTCATAGCACTATTTCTGACTAACTATGGCAATTTCATCTGCCAATGACTATTCTTTGTACAATTTTCCATTATTGGTTCACTAGTCACCTACTAAACTAATCTCAGCTCCCCTCAGACTCCTTCTCTTAAATATTTAGTCTCTTCCTGCTTTACATCATTACCAAAAAGCTGGATTCCCATTCTATATCAATGCTGTATATGCTCCATAGTTTAACTATCATCACTTGTCTCTTCTTTCCTATCTTATATGACCAAACTTAAACCACCTCCCACACCTCTACAATATTACTTCATCTTCTCTCTCAAGCCTAGTCATTTCTTCCAAGAGTTGCAACAATTACATACTGCCTATACAGTTTATCTTTTTATTTATTCATTTACAAGTTTGGACTGCCACCTTCAAAAAACATTATCCTAGTGCTGAGCTGCAGCAAGGAGCCAGATCAAAAGATAATGCCTATCTCTGAGCAGACATTTTTCCAAAGAAGACATTCAGGTGGCCAACAGACACATGAAAAGATACTCAACATCACTCACATCAGAGAAATGCAAATCAAACCACAATGAGATACCACCTCACACCAGTTAGAATGGCTAAAATTAACAACACAGGCAATGACAGATGTAGGCGAGGATGCAGAGAAAGAGGAATGCTTTTGCACTGCTGGTGGGAATGCAGACTGGTACAGCCACTCTGGAAAACAGTATGGAGGTTCCTCAAAAAATTAAAAATAGAGCTACCCTACAACCCAGCAATTGAACTACTAGGCATTTATCCAAAGGATACAAGTGTGCTGTTTCGAAGGGGTACATGCACCCCAATGTTTATAGCAGCACTATCAACAATAGTCAAAGTATGTAAAGAGCCCAAATGTCCATCGGCAGATGAATAAAGAAGATTGAAACCTGAATGAAGTTTCTAATGGCATAAGGCTCCCCCTCCCTATGATTCACACCCTAGCTTGAGACACATGCTTCACTCCATTCATTACTTGCATTTCTCTTAAATTATTACTGTCATTTATCTCTTATGTTTTTGCTTACCCTGAAATACACACACACACACACACACACACTCAAATGGAGTAATACTCAGCAATCAAAAGGAAAGAAATCTTGCCGTTTGCAACAACATGGGTAGAACTAGAGTGTATTATCCTAAGCAAAATTAGTCAGTCAGAGAAAGACAAATATATAACTTCACTCATATGTGGAATTTAAGATACAAAACAGATGAACATAAGGGAAGGGAAGCAAAAATAATATAAAAACAGGGAGGGGAACAAACTATAAGAGACTATTA